GTTAAAAAATAAGAATAATAAGTTAGGGACCAAACGTGCAAATTACCCCAAAGATAGAGACCATTCTTGTAATTTACTCAAAAATATTTTAACAATGGTTAAGATCGGTATTTCACTTTCAAATGAGAAGATGGTTGTCATAAACATAAGAGGAAATTATTTTGATATGTAAAACCCTTTACCGATTCTTGTCTATGAAACTCTTAGACTTTCGAGAGATTCAATGATTTATATCAACATTGACATGTTTAATCCATCCATGTTTATCTTGTCATGTGATCGGGGTGTCATATATCACAAACCAGGACAGGAAATCAACCATTTGACCCTACGATATCATCCAGCCTAAGACTCTCGAGTATCACGAACAACAACTTACTCTCCTAACATCTAAATGCCGCATTTGGCTAATGCACTTTCCCACACTGGAATACATTAAAATAAGTGTGTGTTTTAAATGAATACCATATGATTTTACACTTTCAAACACGTTTTTGTTTTATATTGATAAACAATTTTAATTTTATTTTGACAAAATCATTTTTCCAAACTCTTTAAATTATTTATAAAACAACTTTAAGAATTTTCATTTTTATCAAAATATTCATATGTCAATTTGTGTTTCAATTTGAACACGTTTTCAAGTCATACAAGTATAGACAAACATTAAACAACAAAACTAGATGAAAGTAGTTGTAATCATTGTTTAAATCATATAGGCTTTTAGATGAAGCCATCCCAAAAAATAATAATAATAAATAAATAAATAAATAACTACTAGGTCAGTCTATGGAAAATTAACTACAACGCATCTACCATACAATTTTAAAACAACTTATGAACTACATGAATTGTTAAAACCTTCATTAATATATTTGTCATCGGGCCTTCATAAACTGGGTACACTAAGCGGACCTTTAACCGGGCCCTTTTCAAAATGTTATAGCCTGTCAGATCGGGCTTTCCTTAACTCTTTGCATTCCAGTAATAATTTAAAGATTTTAGCAAACAAAGAAAAGCATAAAGCTAACACATTATGCTAAAAAAAAAAAAAAAAAAAAAACAATACCCATGCTTTTACTTTATTAGGCTTTCTTGCATCTGTAGCAATCTCTCACATTCTTTCATAAAATTCTAAAATTCAAACTACTAGTCAGTCTTCTAAACCTGTCGCATTCTTCCAAAAGTACACCATCATCCATGTTTATGATTGTCGTGAATTGCTTTTCTGCCTTTATTTCATCCACATCCCATAAAACATTCAAACTCTCCTCCATATGTAACAAGTCATCACATTCCATAACTATTTTCTTGATCATCATGGCAATTGTTGGTTTTTACAGAGTCATGACTCTTGTGTGTATCGTGTTCTTGTTTATTCACTCTGAGAAAGTTTATGCTATTCGAAGCATGGATCTTGCTATACAATGGAGCCATGGAAGACTGTTTTCAAGAAAAGAAAACACACAGTTTAACGTAGCACCAACACCTTCACCTTTTGATCCATATCAATCAAACAAAAGAAGGGTTCGAAGAGGAGCGGATCCTATTCATAATAGGTGCTGATGTTTGTGAAATTTTGTATAGTTTCCACATGTTTTTTTTTTTTTGGTGTTTTTCGAATCGAATGTAAGTTTTTGTTTTTGTTTTAATTAATTTTTGTTCACATGAGAAATATAAACGATTTAAATTACGTATTTTCATATGGTAAGTTTATGTTACATCGAATTTGTTGTCGATTAATCTAAATGTGACATGATTCAACATCAAATCATAAGTTTACGAACATTTTTTTGCGTTATTTTACTCTAACCCAACATCATTTTTTTTTTTATCATCGTGATTTATATGAATAATGTTGCATTTAACACCAAATTGTATGTTATAATATTTATTTATGCAATTTCACCTTTATACATTTTTAGTTAATTAATTGTATAGCAACATTTTAAATGTGGGATTATGTTATACATTAATTAATCATGTAACTATACTTGTATGATGAATTTTTGTGGTTATAGTTAGTTTAATAATATATCTTACAGCAAATTACATGAATGGTCTTTATGGTTTGGAGTAATTTGCGTATTTGGTTCCTAACTTATTTTTATAACTTGGAAAATCCCTACTGTTTGTTTTTGTTACACGCTTGGTCCTTACTATTTGTTTTTGCTACACATTTAGTCTCTATTTTACCTAAAAATACTATTATTTAAAAAGTGAAAAGTGATGGAATAGACAAGGTAAAGTGAGGAGAGTGTGGTATGAGGTGTTTATTTAAATAAATTAAAAAATCAATAGCAAAATAATTTTTTAGATAAAACAGGAACCAAACACATAACAAAAACAAACACTAGACACATTCCAAGTTAAAAAATTAGTTAGGTATCAAACGTGTAAATTACCCTAAACCATAGGCACTATTCGTGTAATTTATTCTATAACTTATAAGTTACTATAACAAACATGTAAAAAAATCATAAAACGCTAATAAAATATGGGATGTTTTTTGAAATATATAACTTACAAAAAATAAATCAACTCAAAAATGTTTTTTTTTTTTTTTGGTGTAACAAGATAACATACTGGATTGAACACGGCTCATCGTCTACACCAATATTACAACATTTTGGTGCAACAAAACTTACTATCGTATGGAGATAAAAATACTCATCTTCCAAAAGGGCAAAAGCGTAATTTAATGAGCATTCAAGAATTTTTGCGATCTATTATATCTACTTTTCCTATGAGTTTTATAATGTAAACTCGACATCTTTCTTGAAACCGCCTTCCAAATCATGTCAACAGCATCACCAGGTTTCGAAGGATACTCATACTCAAAATGTGGTGCAATTTGCTTCAAATTTTCCCACATTTCTGTCCATTTTTCCTTTTTAACCCCTCTGAGAAGTTTCAAGAGGTACCCTTTTTTGCACGCTTCTGATGCAGGGACAAAAATGGAAAATTTGGAGTAGTCAAGAACGTCTTCAAATGGGAGTTCGATTTCATCACTGATGATAACAGGAACACAATGGCTGACAATTGCATCAAAAAGGCGATTTGAAGAAGGTGTGTCTCCTGCAATGTTGAGGCAGAATTTGGATGATGACATCCCTGTGGATGCCGTGCGGACCCCACCTCCAATGGCACTTCCGAAAGTGAAATGCACATCTTTTTCGTCTTTCATTAGGTAGTATAATTCTTGACGAATCACTCCACCCTGTGAAAAACATAAGATTTTGGATTTAAGCAAACGTTAAATTTGGAAAAAATAATAATTTATTGAAAAAATAAAGACGCGTATAAATATTTTTAGCAACATCCCAAGCGATTGTGCCAAAATATTGTCCGTTTTGGACAACCTGACATGAGGACTTTCCAGGGGGTCACCCATTCTGGTACTTGTCCAAGTACGCTTAACCGCGGAGTACAAGAAAAAAGGTATTAAAGATTGAAAAATCAGTCTCAGATGGTCAATAATCAGTCTCATGGTCAATAGTCAGTCTCTGGTACTACGTCTCAGATGGTCAATAATGAGTCTTTGGTACTACTCTCATCTATGTCCGCTTAAGTGTGGAGTACAAGAAAAAAGGTATAAAAGACTGAAAAATCAGTCTCAGATGGTCAATAATCAGTCTCTGCTACTACTATCGTCTAAGTTCGCTTAACCGTGGAGCACAGGGAAAAAGGTATTAAAGACTAAAAAATCAGTCTCAGACGGTCAATAATCAGTCTACAATGGGAATCAGGAATGGTGAAATTTTTTAGGTTTACAAAGGGGTCATAATTATTACTTTCTATCCATGTGGGACGAGTAATTACACAATACAACAAATTTTTGCATATCAACATAAACTCAAATCCAAAGGAAATAATAAAATGAAAGAAAAAAAAAAACTCACATCTTTTCGATAAATTGCTCCTTGGAAGTACACCAACGTGGGGCGTTCTTCAAAAGAAGGCGATTTTTTAGCATCGATAGTCCTAACAACATGTTTATAAGGAGCAATCACATCTTTATCAACATTTGCAATCTCATTGGAATATCTACCGAAATCCGCAAGCACAAACATAGCCGAACCCAATTTCCATCTAGCAATCAACATACTATTAGGGTGATGAGCCATGATCAAATGATCTTTTCCTCCAAATCTTTTCCATTCATCTCTACCCTTCAAATATTCCACCAACCTCTCTTGCAAGATATCATTAGTACTACTTTGCTCACTCCCTTGAATCTTAGAATGCCTATTGTAACTCAAAGACGAAAAAAAGGGAACAAAAATGATATCCGCTTGACTCGAATTATCTACAAGAATAGAGGAACAAGATCGAGGAACATTTTGAGTGATTGATGATAAAAGATCAAGTGTGAGCCAATATTCTATACTGTGTTGTAAGTTTAATCCACCTGGGTATTTAGGGATTTCACTAAAGTTACCAACATTTGGCCATATTTGGTTTTGTTTTCCTGTCCAACCTAATAGCCCAAAGTGAAAATCAGGGGGTAAATCGTACATAAACACTTTTAAAATAGCTTGATTTGGATCACAAGAGACAAATGGTTTAATGGGGCATTTTTCTTTGCAAGAAATCGATTTGGGTTCATTTGCGACACTATTAACAACAATTAGGTTGTAAATTGATTTGGGTACTAAGGAATTGTCACCAATTCGAAAGAGGAGTGATGAAGAAATGAGTATGAAGAACATTGAAATGAAGATCAAGAATGAAAGCAAACGCGACGAGAACACGCGCTTTTCAGGGATTGAAGTCATTGAGAAAAAATTAGCTCGATTTTAACTGATGTAAGTTGCTTATAAAGGGTAAGCGCAGAAACCCATTAACAAGAACAGCTTAATTTTAGCTGTAATTTTGTATGAACAGGAGGAGAAGAACAGAATGATTAAAGGGAAACCTAATTATGTTCTTGACACCCTATTCAATTGAATACATGAAATCAATTGGGCATTAAACAGAATCTCAACAAAACCGAGTTTTCATTCGATTTCAAGCCCTCGAGGATGGAAATTTGTACAGGCTTTTCGTTCTTGTGAAGATTCAGCAGCACAGATGCAACCTGGAAAACAGAAGGATCACTGTATAATCAAGCTCAAGTAGCATTACAATGAAACTGATGAATAAAGAATCTGAAATCAAACAATCGAAGCTTGGATTAACAATGAAGAAGATGAGCTAATGCATACAGTAATCGATAAAGTGAAAACGAGAATGCAAGTGAAGCATTACCTGAAAATGAGATCTGCCGCCATGAAAGGTGGAAAAGAAGAAAACAAAGATTCAGTTCAACTGGGGAGGGTGTTATTCGGGGAAAACCGAATCTGGATGTTTATTGGAATTCGTAGTTTGGTTATTAAATTAGTGAAAGATGAAAACGAGTTAAATACTGAGTTGCTTGTGTTGCTCAACGTGATGAAGTCTGACCAAATGTTGAAAGAAGTTCTTTTGATTCCGTGCTCGTGTTGCTACTTGCTAAAGACCAGGTGTCCTCAACTTCTTATAGATAGATCAAAGTGATTGATAAAAAATATAATTATAAGTTAAAATAAGCGTGATGTTGAATAACACACGATTATGATTGTTTTAGAAATATAAAAATGAAAAATGAAGAATGAAAAATATAAATTTAAAGGGTATTTGAGATTTTATTTAAAAATAATTTATTGAATTGTTGGTTTATTAAAAGTTAATAAGTCAAAGAGAAATTGTTAAAAAAAGAATCTTTAAAACAACTTCTTATTAATTTTAAAAAATGGAAAGTTAAGGTTTTTTTGTAACTTTTTAAAATTGTTTATAATTTAAGACAAACATTTTTTAATAAATAATTTATTGACTTATTGATTTTTTTCATTAAAAAAATTAATCTAAACATTTAAAAAATAAAAACTATTTTTCTTACCATCTAAGTTAATAAATGTTTTTGTTTAAAAATCATTTAACCCTTTTATAAATTTGGTTATAACTTTTCAAAAGATTTAGTTAAAAGTATATAAAATAGTCATTGGAATTACATGTAAGTGTCAAAGGCTAGGTTGTGATTTTCTCTAATGTGTTAGCTAGACTTTTACCTACCATCAAATTATTGAAATCGTCTATGTGGTTAGTTAAAATTTTGTCTTTCATCCCTAAGGTTTTTTTTTAATTTTATTATTATTATTATTATTATTATTATTTTGTTTTCAAACCATCCTTATAATATAATTTTATTACGTGTTTTGTTCCTAATGGATTTAAAATATCCAAAATACCCTTATTTATTATTTTATTTGTTTTCTTTATTATTAACCTATTAAAACCAATGTTTTAATACCTGTTGAGCCCACAACCCTTTAACCTCCCTAGCGTACATACTCCATCGGCTCAACCCCTCACCCCCAAACTCTCCATCTCCCTCTTTCTCAATGGAAATCAACATCGATAACTCTCTTCCTTGCCGGAAACCACCGCCACTATCTCTATTTGATGGTGCAGAAGACCGACGACGATAGTGCAGAAGAGTGTCATCCGTTTGACGTGACTCGGAGCCACAACCACAACTGTTTGTGTGTTCTTCACGTTCTCGAACTGCGCAACTCATCAATCTTCTTTATTCTCTATTGTCGGAGGTGTCATTGCGGTCGGTGACCTTGTCGGAGCAGACGACCTATGGATCTCGAACCCATTTTATCCCCCGTTGTAGTCAATGACCTTGATCACATACACATCGCCACTTCCTTCCACCCACAAATACAACCGTAGTGCCCTAAATCCGATCATCACCACCCTGAAAGTCACTACCATTGTCGCCCCTGAAACTACTACTCTTCCTTTTGTAGGGTTTTGAGCATTCTAACACTCTTAAGGTATACATGCAACCCTAGAAACCTTGGATCTATGTTTTACTATGATACATGCAAATTTGATTTCCAAGGTTTATATCCTATCTAGCATGCATGGGGAACTTTCAATCATAATAGTAACCAAGAAAACATACCTTGTAGTAGTTTGGATTCCTTGAAAACCTTGTGAGCCTAACACCTCAAGTGTGATGCCTCAAATGTCTCACACAACACCAAATGCACTTGGAATAACTTAGAGAGAAATTAAGAACACTTAGAAATAGGCTAGCCCTCACTTGTATTACTTAGTCGCCGATTTTGGTGAAGAACATGAAGCTTATATAGTGTGTTACAATTAGGGTTACACTATGTAAACCCTAATTGTTATGACCTTTTATTTCCATGGCATATGGGTTCTATAAACACCATGGAACATCCTATGGGTTTTAGCCCAACTTGATAATCCATGAAGCATTAGCCCACTATATAAGTATGGATGATTTACACAATCAACCCATATATTTAATTAGTCTTCTTTTGATCACTTAATAAATTCTTGATCAATACTAATTAAATAATATTATTAATATATTAGAACTTATAATAATTTAATAAACCTTAAGTGTTATTTCTCTCATTTTAGTCTATCCAAATACATGATGCCATGCAACCCAAATGGACCATGCCAAACCAGGTTAGGTACATACCAGAAATAGTTATGGACTTAGACACCTTATCCAATAGTCTCCTACTTGGATAAGTCTAATAACTATAACTGCAAGTATGACTTCAGGAACCGATTAGCAATCGTAGCTCTTTCAAGGTCTCTCAGAACTGAGATGATGATGATACGATATTTAAGATAAGTGATCATATAATCCTCTGTTCTAGATATCAACTGGACAAATACATGGAACAATGTCTTACTTTTTGTCCTACAGTTGTTTCCTGATTTCCGATTTGTTTGACAAAGAACTTAATTGAACACATCAATTTAATCCTGACCAGGCCCAGTACATAGGGCAAAACAAAATCATCGAGGGGCCCAAATATTGCTTCTAATCCAAGAAGGAACATATAAACTTCGACTCATATGCTTGTTCTACTACTTGTTGAATTATACACAAATGCACGTTTTATAACATCAAGTTACCAATGCGTTTTCTTACAATCAATGCATAACCAACTCATAGGTAACAAGTCATATCTCTAGGTTTGAAGACTTATATGATATTACCGTCTTACGATCACTCGAGATAAATTCCGTGAAGTGATGCCAGTGAACGTGGGTTGAACCCAAGACTCAGAACTTATGAGTACTCATGAGTGTTGTAACACCACTTTGGTACGTCCAACATCTTAGACATCTACGAGCCAACTCATGACAGCCTTGATTCATATCTACTTCCAACATATGATTGACTTTGGAGAATTTGAATAATATGATATACCATAACATAATTATTCTGGAAGTCAAAACATACAAAATGAAATTATAGTACATGATTGACAAAAGATAGCAACACTTTACTCATAAATAAACAACAACTTTTTATTCACCATCAAATGTCAAATACACTTTACAAATTTCAAAGCTATCTAACTACTAAAACTAATATCATCCTTTATGTCACACCCCCGAACCAGACGGCGGAAACGTCCGAGGGCTATTGTGACTTAATTTAAATATTACAACTGATATTGTTTACATTCGGTACATTGTTTTAAACATTACAAATCCATAACATAAACCGTTCGATAATAAATTTAAGCAAAACACCATGACATCACTTGGTACTTATTCTTCGGTTTACCTGTTGCCTGAGAATACAAGTATTTTGGAAGAACATCAACATATGAAATGTTGGTGAGCTCATAAGTAATGTTGTGAAACGTGATTTATGTGAAGTTTGAAAAACCCAGAAAATCCGATATTCTCTGAAAAGAGTATTGTTTATATAAAAAAGTGTGAAGATCCGTAAGTATGCTTGTCAATTTTTGTAAACATGTATAATTGTTGAACTTTGTATGCATCACATAAGTAAAAGTGTTGAACTCCCCGGGAAAACCCAATGTTTTCCCAATACCAAAAATTATGTGTCTTATTTATTGTTATACCGATACGACGATTGTTTTTGATTATGCAGGTGACATTGGATTAATTTTGGGTTGTGAGTTGTTATAATCATGCATTAATGAAAATGACTAGTTTATAACTACCAATTACAAACGATCCTTTAGACATCGTCTGTACTACTCACTTAATCCAACCACCCTGACTTCTCATAGCCCCACAACCGAGGAGAAAGGAGGGTATGAAGCCCCCTTTATTTCCATACATTGTTCAAGGCTATCGGGAATGCGAAAGGTGCTTGGCCCGAATCGCATTTGACTTCTCAACTTCATTAGCAGTACCAATGGACCCTTGGGGCCCAACAACACAATAGAGCTATTGAAAGTCCTTTTACATGGAATTAGGTCATAGAAGACCCAATAACATGTAAGTGTGTTCCCTTCGGGCCTAAAGATCATGTTATTGGGCTAGCAAGGCCCAACAAGCACGATTTAAAACTTTCGAGCCCAAAGATCAAATATTGACTCCTTGTAGATTTCGCGTGTTTATTGATGTACTATTGTTTATTGATTTTTGATTTGTTATTGATTCGAGACCGAATCAATTCGTTTTGGTAATGATATTGGTGTTGAAAGTGTATTTGTTATTACGTTTCGCCGGTAGTCGTGGATCTCGTATTTTGTCTTAAGGGGTTTACTTGTTTAAAAGTAAGATTTTATCTTTTTCATGACCCTTCTTTGATAAAATTTGCACTTTTAATTCTTTATATAAAAGAATTTCCATTTTAGTCCTCAAACCATTTTTTTCTTGACACTTTAGTACCATAACTTATGGAAAAGAAATTTTCAGCCCAAATTTACTTTGTAAACAGCTTAAGTCCTTCAAAAATGAAGTTTTCTCGGTTGGAACCCCCGTTTTCGCAACTTTTACAGTTTTGGCCCAAAATGGAAAAGTTTTGCATTTTTGATCCCTTTTGAATTTGAAAAACATTTTTGACCTTCGAAATGGTTTTAATACACTTGAAATCCCATGTTTTACAGAAAGTTACATTTCCAGCTACTCAAATTTAAAAATTTCGGAAATTGGAGCTTATTGGGCCGAAAAGCCCATTTTAGCCCATTAGGTTCAAAATTTACATTTTAAGCCCCTCAAAAATGTTGATATTCAGAAAAATTGTATTAGAAATTGTTTGGACCCTTTTCAACCTCCAGAAATTATAATTTGTCGTTTTGGGCCCTTAGTTTTGTATTTATGACAATTTAAGCCCAAAAATGGGTTTTATGTCCAAATATGTTCATCCTAACCAAATGAACTATTTTTCTTGACTTGATTAGTGTAAAATGGTGTAAGTTATGTTTATTTCATCCCTCATGTTATAGATCTCGGTTTTTAGGTACTTTTTGGCTAACATATATATCACAACACATGATATTACACACAAACATGCATCAAATCACACAAAGGATACATTTACTCACAGATCTACACATTTGCTTGTATTCTCCCCCATAAAAACTCATAAAAACCGAAAGAAAGGGGGTATGAAGCTCACCTTGAGTTGTAGTTTCGGTTTTGAAGAAGATTGGAAGGAGCTTGATGTTGTTTTCGGCCCTAACAAGCTTTCCTTTGATGATTTCGAACTTAGAGGGTTTCTAAGAGAGTGATAATGATTTTGCATGGATTAGAAAGAGATTTTTGATAAAACAAAGAACCTAGATCATAGATCCAAGCATGATCTTACCTTAGATGAAGAATTTGTGGAAATATCTTCTTGAAAAACCTTCTAAATTTCGAGAACTTGATGAAGAGTGAAGGGAGTTTTCTTGAGAGATTTGTGAAAGAAATGTGTGTGTGTGTGTGTGCTTGGGATCGGCTGAGAGCAAGAGAGAGAGGAGAGAAGAGTGATTTTTGAAGTGAGTTGCATGAAAACATGAGATGGCAGGGACGTTTAAAGTGTAATAACCTAGATATCTTCCATGCAAAGATGAGGTGTCATGCAAAAGTCAACTTCTTCTTCTCCTTTTAGGCTTGGGCCAAGAATTAGAGAGGAAGAGAAAAGAATTTGGGCCTTGTATGCTTAAGCCTTTTTCATGGTTATGTTAAGTGATGTTTGGTCCAAATAATCATAAATGTGAGTCTTATGACCTATTAGGGCTAAATTAGGTTAATTATTGCCCAAAATGGTTCATATAATTAATTTATTTCATTCTAGGCCCAATATGGCCCAAATTATTGAAATAAATGGAAGTGGGTCCAATTAGAGCCCATTTAAGAGTTCTAAGCCCAAGGTGGTCAAATTGGAAGCTTATTGGTCCATTGGGCCGAAAAAGGAAGTCCTAGTCCAAAATGGGCTTAAACAAGAACTTCTAGGGTTTCTAATTGCTTATTGACTACTTGAAATGCTTGCATGGTGTGTTTGATTGAAATTTTGTTGTCATAGAGTATGCATCATACATGCTCTTATGTCTTTGATTCATAATTTGATTTAAGTGTTGTAGTTACAAGGCACAAAAATTTCTAGTTGTGACATCATCCCCACGTTAGAGGGAATTTCGTCCCGAAATTCATTTGAAAGCTAGATTTGAGAATGCTAGAATAGGTGAGGGTACTTTTGCTTCATTTGGCCTTCGCATTCCCACATGAATTCTGGCCCACGCTTCGTGTTCCGCCCGTACTTTCACGATC